TGTGGCTCCATAGCATGCCCCTGTGGGCGCTGCTGGCTACACATTCTCAGTGGAAGTGTTGGGCATGTGGTCAGACGAGGCCGATTCTTCAAACACATCATCCTCCATGCCTTCTTCTATAGGATTCATTTTTGAGGATGCTTTGGTGCCGGGTGAAATCTCTAGAAAAACACAAAATGAAAAAAATATGGAACATTGTGGCTAAACAATCTGAAGTGTGAGCATATGCAGCACTCTGCATGTAATCATTAGTTATTATTAATCTCTCTTCCACATGGTGTCTTTGTCCTGTATCATCCACTGCAGCTGGGCGCCCCTCCTTGGCCGTTACAATATAAAGTGCCCTGAGGCAACTGTGTTGTGTTTTGGTGTTATAGGACAAAAGTGAATGAAATGAATTCTCTGCTGGCTCCACCATGCAGTTTACCTGTCAGATGACATTTTCTGCATAAGATAGCAGTGAAGGAACACATCTTATTCCCTTGCGTTGCTTCCAGCCAGCAGCATAATATTTGCTACTTAATGTCATCCTACAATCCTACCATGCATCCTTTCCTCCTTCTCATCTTTATGCATTCATGCTGCACAGATCAATTACATTAAGCGTGTGTACAGCATTTAGCTAGCACTACAGAAGAACTGTTTTAACATCACATACAGCGAGTAAACATTTCACCAATGTTTGAAGAAATATATTTCTAAAGGTGTTATTGACATAAAATTCACCAGATGTCGGTAATAACCATCCCAAGTGGGACCTCAGATACTGTCCCTCCCTCCATCCAACCGCACACTTCTTCAGGTTGGCTGTGAGCCCCGCCTGCCTCAGGAACCTCTCTGATGCACAGGTGTGCTACAAGGAACGTCAGAATTTCACTCTTACCCGGGCTTGGACCTTCCTCACGGTGTTCTTTAAGGTCCAACAGCCCCTGCAGCTTCCTGCTAAACAGCAACTCATGGATGCTTAGGGCACCTCCCGAAGTGCCAACAACACAGGGTCCAGCCAGCGATCGCAACTGCATTCGTCCTCATGACGGAACTTATGAAAGCGATACCCTGTGCACTGAAATGCCATGATGGGGTCCATGCCAGTGTGCTCGAACAGGACCCCCACTAATGGCCCAAACTAGCACACAATCTGCCCTACCAGTAGAATCAGCAGTGTTAGACGACTTTGCATCACCACTGAGCGCAGCACAAACATCACATGTCCCTACACGTTGTGAGCGCACCTCTTCACACTGCCCCATTAACTTGTCAAACCACTATGTATATGTATACGTTATTTCCACTGGCACCGTGGGATCTTTGTGACTATCCCCATGCACACACTTAATTTCCATCCGCTCTGCGTCCAACAACGTCTCAAGTCAAACCAGTGTTTCGTGGACCAGGATCTGCATGGTGCCCAAGGTGGCCATAGCCTCCGCTTGAATCCACTGCACCAGCCCTCTGCAGCTGAGCCAGCATTTCAGAGTTCATGACTATTTGCACCTCACTGTGTTCATGTGTCGTTTCTCACTGTTAAACACATTTTAATTTTCACGTGTGGATTGAATGGATTGTTACCAACATCTGGTGAGGATTTCATCTCAGCAGCACCTTTAGAAATATAAATGTGTGCGTGTGAACAGAAGCCTGCGAGGAGGCAACATGCAGAAGTCCAAAGATAAACCTCAACATCACTGAACATTTATGGAGGAAGTGAGGGAGCCCCACTCGTTTGAGCTGCTGGGAACACTGGCAGAGCTGTGGATCGCTGCTGTAGCACGTGCTGCAGTGACAGAGTAAATATCCCATTAAGACTCACGGAGTGATGATCCAGCAGATCCACCTCGTAGGATCTGGTTGAGAACATCGTCGGTGTCACTGCTGCTCGCCATGCTGTTTCTCACCTGCGTCATAGACAGCTGGGAGCACAGGCTGGGCTGTCGGTCCATTTTCTTCACAGCCTAGAACATATCCATGACCAACATCCTCGTCAGCACAGTGAGCACTCTTACAGCTGTCACATGACATTAAACAAGATGCTCCAATAAATCGACACCAGCGGGACTCACCTTGTCGCTGAGTGTGGCATCATTCAGAGAGTACAGTTTGTTGGTGATATCTTTGCCGATGAGGAACCTGAAAACCTCATTAAGGAAAGTGTCTGACTCCAGGAAATAGGTAAGTCTCTCTCGCGACCAACACAGGAACTTGCAGTTCTCTTCTGCCATGATGGTCACCTGTCAATCAGACACATTAACAAGTGTTAAGGTGTCCACAGGTAGGGATACATATTTTTATATGCTTCGTTTCACGGTTTTCTTGGGCCTGATTGTTCTCGTCGTCTATCTACAGATTGACTGAGACACTGTGCCGTCTCTGCGCGTCTATAGATGAACAGAACTACAGACCGATCTCAAAAATACCGTTAATTGCTAAGATTTTAGAGAAGATTGTGGCTAAGCAGCTTACAGCAGTTTTAGACAAATATAACATCTTTGATAAATTTCAGTCTGGCTTTCGTAAAGCTCATTCTACTGAAACAGCCCTTCTTAGAGTTTCTAATGACATTCTGATGCAAAACGATGCGGGTAAGTGTTCTGTTCTTTTAATGTTGGATCTCACGTCGGCCTTTGACACCGTTGACCATTATATTTTGCTTGATAGGCTGAAATACTGGGTCGGTGTATCTGGGTCTGCCTTAGAGTGGTTCTCCTCGTATCTCTGTGAACGATACTCTTCTGTGGCAGTTTCTAAGTACAGGTCATCTTCTACGTCCCTGTCCTTTGGTGTGCCACAAGGCTCTGTGCTGGGGCCATTATTGTTTTTAATTTATTTACTTCCTCTCCAGCATATTTTGAGCCCTTTTGAGGATATTTGTTACCACTGCTACGCAGACGACATCCAACTATATATATCTTTTAAACCTGAAGATGCTTCTAAACTGCGGATTTTAAATGTGTGTTTGGAAACCATCAAAGGTTGGATGGCCGACAATTTCCTCCAACTAAATGAAAATAAAACTGAAGTCCTGTTATGTGCTCCAGACAGACATGTACCCAGCATAATGAATGCTCTTGGTCCCCTTTCAACGTTTGTGAAACCATCTATCAGGAACCTAGGGATAACCTTCGATCCTGCTCTTACATTGGATACTCACGTCAAATCTCTGGTTCGGTCTTGCTTTTATCATTTAAGAAATATTTCTAAATTGAGCCCCATAATAGCTCATACTGAACTGGAGATTGTTATTCATGCTTTTATTTCATCACGACTGGACTATTGCAATTCACTGTTTACATGTCTAAACAAGAGTTCCCTGGAGCGTCTGCAGACTGTCCAAAATGCTGCAGCAAGGCTTCTGACGAAAACATCGAAATACTCACATATAACACCGCTGCTTATACAGTTACACTGGCTCCCTGTCGAATTCAGAGTCCACTTTAAGATTCTGGTTCTCACATTTAAGGCTCTTCAAGAACAAGCACCATCATACATCATTGAACTCTTACAGCCCTATGCCCCTAGTAGGTCTCTGAGGTCTTGTGGTCAGGGCCTACTTGTTATTAAGTATACGAGACTGAAAACTAGGGGTGATCGAGCTTTTGCTACTGTGGCCGCCAGACTGTGGAATTCTCTTCCTCAGAACTTAAGATCTGCTGATTCACTGATTACTTTTAAAAAACAGCTAAAAACACATCTTTTTAAAATTGCATTTTGTTAACTTTTGACTGTACTTCGTCTTTTTAATCTGTGTCTATACCTTGTAAAGCACTTTGTGATCTCTTATCTAGAAATGTGCTATATAAATAAAATTTTACTTACTTACTTACTAAGGAGATGAGTAAGGGAACGTTCAGAGACCTCAGAGGATTTAAAGTTAACATTAGTTCAGACTGCTTACATGAAGTGTAGTTAAGGAAAAAAGAAGACGGGAAAGTCAAATGATACCTTTCCACAAGTTTTTGAATTAAGCGCTTTATTTTATGACAACTTTCAAAAGCTTTTTGTTATTTCTGAATGCAAAAGAACATTTATTTTACCATGTTTAGTATTATTATTATTAGTAGTAGTAGTACCCTCCAATTCATTGTGAAAATAGATATATAGTATTATTCTGCCTGACATCAAGTTGTTGCCTAGATAGACATCAATACACTTATTACTATTTTATTACTATTATTAGTACTTCAAAAATATGCTACATTGAATTGCCATGCATGTGAAACTTTATGATGTTCCAGAGCTCTGTTTAAAGAAATTTGACCTCCTTAAATCTTTATTGAATATTCATGTTCTGCATAGTCAGACATGTTTTTACAGCCAGAGAAGGAAATCGGCCCTGCAAACGATGTCCATCCTTTATGTCAGAGCTTCCATGCAAGTGAATTTACCTGAAACTTCTCTCCTCGGTGCATCTCAGTGGACCTGAACTCTGGAGAGTCAATGAATGCGTTGGTATAGATGTTGTGCAGAAAGTGGCCTCGGTATGAAACTTTCATCCTATCACACACAAAAAAATGAAATTCAAGATTCTGACCAACTAAATCAGAAAAGCACGGTGTTAAAATAATAACCTTAGTCGTGTGTATTAGTCAGACCTATGTGACTTTCATTAGGGAAACAAACAGCACATACTTTCCTTTGAGCAGAATGCTGAGGCGTTCGTCTACAGACGTCTTGTCCTCAGCAGCGTAGGCCTGGCCTTTCTTCAGCGTCTGAATGGTGCAGAACTGTCCCGTGAGTCGCTGGAACAAAGCCTCCTGCACATGCAGAGGCTCAAACATCCTCTTGTAGACTGACCGCAGCTCCCTGTCAATCTTAATCTGACAGCAACAGTTTGAGACGGTTAGTCTGAGCTGAGCATTCATCCACAGTCAGTGTAGCCCAGCGCACTGAAGCACAGGCCTAGTTGGGATAATAACACGAGCCATTTATAAATTATGGTATAGAAAATAATAAGTATACATGAATTATATGAATTCACAAGTTAATGAACCAACAACATGATGCATATTGTTCTTAAATGGGGCATTCTGCATATTTGCTATGTTTGTTTAGCTACTTTGTGTGGATACATTTTAAAACTGTTGTACTACAAATAAAGAGAATAAAGAGTAAATAGTCACAAAAGTGTTTCAAAAACCCTCACACAGAGAGTTTGACCATTTAAGAAAAGGGAACCAGCGCATGAATAACCAGGATGATTCTGTTGCCTCCACAGTTTGTACACTCGAGTCGTGTCTCGTTTGCACCGAAGTCAAAAACACCTCTGGCAAGTTTCCAGGACAGCTGTAATTTGTCCTCCAGAGATATTTCAGAAACACTTCAGGGGCACAAATGAGGGAAGTGAGAAATGCTCGTGTCTTCTGTCCAAAGGACAAACTCTAATTCCTGACTTGAGTCTGACATAACTTTATTCCTAATCGTACTTTCCTGGTTAATTAAAGGATGAAAGAAATAAAAATAGTCCTTTATGTCAAGTCACTTATTAAGACAATCAAAGTAACTTGAGAGAAAATGTTTTTTATAAAAGTTATAAAAATGATTTTTGAACTTTAATGAATGAAAGGCTTTAATTCTCTGATGAAAAAACAACTACAGCTGCACTTTGTTGCTCCTCCTGTCTGCTGCTCCAAAGTGTAGCTGAGTGCTGCTGCAGACATAATCGCATTGTGTTACCACGAAACAGAACTGAACCCATATTTATTAGCTAGAAGCTCCACTGCTCCTCTGATGAGCACACATGGGCGGCCTGCAATGATCTTGTATAATGTGAGTGATGTTGATGCTGAACTCACCGGCCTGCGTTTATACAACAGGTAGAAAAGGTGCACGAAGTTGATCACCAGGAAGACCACGTTCCAAACCATTAGATCCATGTTGCACCTGAACAGCGTGGCCCACGCGATGAATAAACCACATCCTGCAAGAACAACCCGACTTACACACTGCACTTGATTACACACCACGCTGAGACAAGAAACACTTCATCTTATCTTGGAGAAAGTATCTGGTATGGTTGTAATATCAGAAATTACTTTAATGTACACTACTGTGCAAAAGTCTCGAGCCACCCCACCATTCATTTATGATTTCCTCCCAGTTTATTTCTTCTGTTCACTTATCTTTTGCACATTTCGAACTTCAGAATCTGAATTTGCCAGCAAAACAATAATAAAGCTTCAGGCAGTGAGACAAACAAGCGAGGTAGTCTAATTGTTCCAAAAATGTAGTACGTTTAAAATAAATCGCTCTATGGGAAACTTACGGGACAACGCTGAGCCACACACTGCTCTGTTTCTAAGCTCATATATGGGAGTATTGTCCAAAACTTTACTTTTGTATCGCTCACAAATTCATAATCATTGCATTCACATATTTTGATTTTAGACATCATGACAATTATTTAGAAATGTGCTCGTCTGGACACATGAATAAATGTCTTACTCGGTGTTATATAATGATTACCCATCCAGTCTTATGATAAAACCACCAAAACTGCTGCCTTACACATTTCAGCACTCTTCCTTTACTCGCTCTCTGAGAGACTGAAACTTGACTTGCTCTAAAATAGCAGCATAAATAACGGAGCTGTCAACATTACAACCACAGCCTCAATAAGTCCTGCTGCTTCCTGTCTCCATTCTCTTGCCAAGCAAAGATAAACATGTTGGAAGTGCTTTTTCCATCCTGCTTTTATCTCCCACTGTCACAGCCTTTTAGGGTCTCCCCTGTTTGTGCAGAACAGTTTCCAATAAATCTTTAAAATGCCAGCGTTACAGTCAACTGTCAACAAGCCTGTCCTGGTAGAAGTTTACTAATGCACGGGCAGCTTTTACTCAGAATGTGATAACTTTATGTTCCTTAAGTCTTCCCCACTACATTGCTTCTGGATCCCATCACGGGAACGAGCTGTGAACTGACCTGTTGTCAGGAGGAGGCGCAGCATGATCATGTGCAGAGCCAAGGTAGTCGGGATGGCCAGGCCCAACAGCAGGGACAGGTTTCCCACATGGAATAGCAGGTGGTGGGTCTGCTCCCACTCCTGGCACGAGGTGGCATTTGAATCTGCAGACGTGGCGGCCGGGATGGAAGAAGGGAAGGAGGACAGCGTGGTGAGCAGGAGGGTGGGCCCATCTGGGGTGGAGGACATCCTTTGGCTAGGCACCTTGGACACTGGAGTAAGGCGAGCACAAGTGAATGTGGGAGGATGGTTGTTCAAAGCATACAAACTACACAGCTGCGAAAGGTAACTAAGTATACTTATTCAAGTACTTTGCTTCTAATATTTTAAGGTACTTGTATGTTAATATACTTCTCAAACAATGTAAGGAACACTTTTAATCAGAGTACAGCATCGAGTCTGCTAAACTGATCTGGGGAGTGAAGTGGGTTGTTAATGAACTTCAGCTGCTTTGGTGTTACTGGAATTAACAGCAGGCAACAATGAGACGCGCTCCAAAATAGGAAGGGCTTTAAATATATTCCAACTGTAGTTTCACTGGTTTAGCATTTGGCTGGGGTCAGTGTCACGTATGGCAGCAGCATAGCGAGTCCCCTTCCTCCAGGATGGCACGTTAATACTTACCATGATGTTTGCTGCGTTTCACAGGCAGACGAATGCTAGAACATTTTCCTCCATGTAGACAAAACACTTCTCATTTTGCTCCCATTCATCCACTAAACATTGTTCAATGTAACATTAAACCAAACGAGGATGTCAGTTACAGCGGTGAACGTTTGCCCTACAAAAATAATTTGAGGACAACATCTCGAACTGAACCAAACCAGTGTTCTTACAGGTTAGTTTCCCATTGAAACTGTGGGAATGACCAGGAGGAAAAACCAGACATGATAATAATAACAGCTTTTATTCTTATATTACTTCTATGAACTGAACGGTCTTTTAGATGTCAGGACCTGACAAAATCTCCAGATCGAAATTTCATCTGAGAGTAAAGTAGATGGTTTCAAATACGTGCATAATTAACTGTCATCTGTTTTCACTCCAGGACAACAAAGGTGGACCAGAAACTAGTTCTCTGCTTGTTATTCATATATGCTGTCCTATACTCATTTCTAATTTTATCCTTTCTGGTCCCTCCCAACAAAAATCTTATCTTCCCACTGCCACTTCCAGGTCAGCTTCCTGTGGTTTTAATTGGTCCCACAGTGTCCACATCATACGTCAGAGCTGGTTTCACTGGTTTCGGAGCCTTCCTGCTATCCTTCTGTCACAAATCTCCCCTGACACGTTTATTTTAGAATTCGGTTTGTTTGAAACCCAGCTGCCCTTCATTAAGTCATACAGTCACTACTGATGCCAAGTTTAGGTTCGCGACAGAAACTGTCCCTCTGGTTTTTATTCATTAGTGAACGCAACAGTGAGCTCCTACACTGGGTCTAGCTGAGCTCCGTCATGTTTGTCATTGAAGAAGACTCGCACACACACAGCTGCATATTTACAGTCATGAATGAATTCATGTTTCTGTCTTTTCAACGCCGGTGGGAAAGTACAGCTTACAGTCTACGCAGCAGTAGTCAGATTACACGACGCGTTACAGCTCATGGTAAAGAAGCTCTTTTATCAACATCTGACTGTAAATGTGGACGCCAGTGAATATTTCTGTACAGCAGCTGTAGCACTCGCAGAGCTCACATGTAGAAATAGACGTGGTCCAGTCGCGCAGCTGCGCTGGAATTTCTTAGGTTCAACTTAAAAGCCCGTAAAAGTGAGGAGTCTTCACTTACCGATCAGAGGAGCAGCCGGAGGAGCTCTGGACAGCAGTGAGAGGGGAAAGCGGCTGGAGCCTCTGATGCTGTTTGCGTCTCACATTCCACACAGCTGACAGGAAAACGCTAAAAGGGGAACAAGGCGAGAGCAGTACCCAAGGGCTCCGACAGGGGGCGACAGATCAAAGGTTAACTTTCAGCAGAAGTTCTTAAGAAAATTTGCTTCTTCTCTCCAAAATCGTCAGAATTGCTCGGATCATCCTTCTCTTCTCCTCAATGGATCCAATCACACAAAACGACCCTCTGTTATTCATACTTTATTAATACTCTTATATGTGAACTTTTTCAACACAAGCAGTGAGACTGCAGCAGCATCTGAATGACTCTGCTGGGTGTGTGGATCTTTGTCGAAGCGTTTGGTTGACAAACCCGCAGTAACTTCACTTTCAGAGGCATTAAGGCTGAAAATATATTTATACATTAGACTTCCTAACATACTGACAAAATGAACTCCAGACTCATGTGCTTAGAAAACTGATTACGTTTGTGTTTGGCATCTACACAGTAAAATCATTTATTGTCACAGAACAACATCAGTCAGTGTACCACTGACAACACATATTGATCTAATCCGTCAATGTCATATGAATTTAAGACGTCTGCTGTCCTGTGACAGAAGAGCAATGGGTCTCCAACTGCTGCACCTGTAAGACAAAACAATAAAAAACAAGCAGCGCCTACAAGGAAAAAATGGATACACAAACCAGCAATCTTGTGTTTTCTGTGTTTTGTCTGAGTATGTGCGTTTGTCACAAAATGCACTTAATAACGAGAGTGAAAAGTCTCAAAGATCAGGACCCCAGCGCCCAGCAACCCCCCAAAACCCAGAAAGAATTTATTCCTTTTAGTTGCTGTCCAGGCCTTCAGTTACTGCTGAGCTGGCCAGTGCATCCTTCTTAAAAATGTCCACGATTGTTGATTTGCCACTCTTAAAGTTGTTCCTCTCTGACGGGCTTCTGTTGGCTTTGCAGCCTGATGATGTCATCCTTCATCTGTGTCTCTTTGCATTAACTCTCCAAACTTCAACACTTAGAATCAAATCCAGAGTTTTAGATCTGCTACATTTTTACTGTCCATAATTTAATTTACTGTCCATTCTCTTTGGCGCCGCTGTAAAAGTGTGTATAAGTCATATAATGCAATCATTTTGCTAAACCCCTTAAAATAAAGATAAATTCTGCACTTCTAACAGATCTTGATCGTTTGATTTAAAATCCGAAGCAAGTTTCAAAAGTTTCATTGCCCCATAAATTATGGCCCTGTGAGTAACAACACTACAGACTGTTTTCGTGCTCAGGTATACGGTCTACCTGTCTGCAAACATGTCTGCAGCCTGACTGACACTGACTTCCACGCACTGCGATTTAGCGCATGAAGAATGTGCATGTGTGTATGTTTACGGAGCCCCCCTGCTCTGCACCGGCACTTGCAGATGGTCATCAGCCCTTTCTATTTCAGTCCCCGGCATGTGAGGGTAACATGGTAAGCGGAGATCGTAGCGGTGTCCGTATCTGTCAAAAGTCTTGTCACTGAGTGAATACAGCTTTTCTGCTATGTCATTGCGTACAACCAGGGCAAAGATCTTGGCTATGTAGCGATGCTTAGCAAAGAGCAGGTAGAGCTTTTTCCTCCTCCACGCTACGTACCGGCAGGGGTTATCAGCACGCAGCGTCACCTGAGAATAAACCACAAAACAAGTTAAACTTTAACCTCAATACAACATTTTTGTTGTCTTTCTGCATGATAAAGAAAAAGCTGTTGTGACAAAGAAAGAAATCTGTCATCACAAGTCTTTGGAATTAAATTGTAACAAATAAATGTGCAAAATTACAGAAAAGTCCAAAACGTATGCTTGTGCTTGTTAGTGGTGAGCAGCAGATCAAACAAGAACCATAAAAGGCTTTAAGCGCACATTCAGGCCTGTGAGCCTCACTCACCCCCGTTCTGTTAGCCGTCAGGGCTGGGGGGCTGAGAGGAGGTGCTGGCCGTCAGATTGGGGTCTGGGGTGCGGGGCCTCCCTGCTACTGCAGATAAGGAGGCGGTCTGCTTTCCTCCACCCCAGAGAGAAGGGTTACATCTGCTGGGTCTGGGTACGGTTTGCCCCTATAGAGTGTGTTTGGGGAGTGTGATTGTGTGTACAGTGCCTATTTGTGTCTGTCTCCACATCGGGTGTATGATTCCCTGGAAGCACAGGCAGATGCAAGTGGTTTTCTGAGGTTCTTCTGAGGTTTCCTTTACCAGTTTAACCGTGTGTAGTTAAAGTCCTCTTAACATAACTTATAATTAAAAAAACATTCTTTCTGCACTTACAGGTGTTTTCTCCTTCTTTCTACCCAAAGAGGAAACTAGCGCAACTTGTAAGCAAGCTTGAATTTCAAAATAAAAGCACCAAAACTTTGACTAAAGTAAATTGTCAAATAGTAAATTTGACTAAATAAAATAACAAACAAAGTAATGTGCAGCTTAAACAATTTACAATGATGACACGGATCTTGACAAGATAAAGAAATAATCCAAATTATATACAATGTCATCATGCCAACAGCTACAGGGTGAGTGCCGAGCATTCGTTTGTGTATATTGGGGTGGGAATGCACGTTTGTGTCTGCGTGCGCCTGCTCGTCTGTGTCTATATGTCAGGTCGGGTCTTAGACTCCACCTCTCTGGGAACATCTCAGGCTCTCTGAGGTATGGAGGCTTATCTCCCCTCACCACACTCCCTGCCAGTGGCCGATGCCTTCAGACGTTGGTGTGTTGGTGGTTCTTGGTGTCTGGGGCTGGGCGCTCAAGTATGTACCGGCTCACTCCTGGTGGCCAATTGGTGGGGCCTGGCGCCTGTGGCCTGGCTGGGCCCCTTCCGGGGGGTGGGTGCCTTCAGGCCTCTGGGCCTGAGGCCCGGTCCTCTCTGGCACAGCTAGCTGCCGGCAGAGCCAGCGGGCACGTCACTGCAACCCCCTCTAGTCTCTGCTCCGTGGCTGCTGGGTGACCTCTCGTTTGGGGCTCTCAGTTGGCTAACTTTCCTCCGTGATCCCTTAATCTCAGCCTCTAGTGTCCTTCTCCATGCAGGACACTGCTCCATGTGTTTTGTGGACTTGTAAAAGGTATTCGACCGTGTCCATCTGAGGGTCTTGTGGGGGGTGCTCCGGGAGTATGGGGTGTTTAGCCCATTGTGACGGACTATTCAATCCTTATACAACCTTTGCCAGAGCTTGGTTCGCATTGCCGGCAACAAGTCAGACTCGTTCCTGCTGGGTGATGGGCTCCGCCATGGCTGCCCTTTGTCACTGATTCTGTTCGTAAATTTTACGGACAGGATTTCTAGGCCAAGTGGTGGAAGGCTTTCACCTGGGTGGTCTCAGAATCTCATCTCTGCTTTTCGCGGATGTTGTGGTTCTGTTGGCTTCATCGGGTGGTGGCCTCCAGCTGGCACTGGAACGGTTCGCAGCCAAATGTGAAGCGGTGGGAATGAGAATCAGCACTTCTAAATCTGAGGCCATGGTCCTCAGCCGGAAAAGGGTGGAGTGCCCACTCCCAGTCAGGGACGAGTTCCTGACCCGAGTGGAAGAATTTAAGTATCTCAGGGTCGTGTTCACGAGTGACGGGAGAAGGGAGCGGGAGATCAACAGACGGTGCTGCGGCTGCAGTGATGCGGACGCTGCACCAGTCCGTCGTGGTGAAGAGAGAGTTGAGCGTAAAAGCGAAGCTCTCATTTTACTGGTCGATCTACGTCCCTACCCCCACCTATGGTCACGAGCTCTGGGTAGTGACCGGCAGAAATGAGCTTCCTCTGAAGAGTGGCTGGCCTCTCCCTTAGAGAGCTAGTGTGAGCTAGTGTGAGCAGTTCAGCCATCCGGGAGGGATGGCGGCCCGGAGGAGGCCCCGGGGCAGACCCAGGACACGCTGGAGAGATTATATCTCTCAGCTGGGCCAGGCCAGCTGGAGGAGGTGGCTGGGGACAGGGAGGTCTGGGCTTCTCTGCTTAGGCTGCTGCGCCCGCAACCCTGCACCGGATAGGCGGAAGAAGATGGATGGATGGATTTGATTCAATCACCGATTTGATTCGATTCAATTTTTTCTCAGGCAGTCAGAAACATAATTCTTTTATCATTTATCAGTACATGTGCACATTTTTATATCTACGTATAAAAACAAAGCTGACACTTGTAGGACTTCATCAGAGGAGCCTTTGTGTGAAAGTAACTGAGAATAAAACACAGAAAAACATGAAGGAGATTTTCCTGGCCTGGCTTTTTATAGCAGATAACCTTAAAATATTCTGCCGTAGATCAAACAACTGAAGAAAATAAGCTTTATTAGAGACACAGCCAAGCGTTATGCAATTTGGCATAATTTTAAAAAGTTAAAATTTCTTCTGTATTGAACAGCAGAAATGAGGCTTTCTTGTCAGAGGTTGTTTAAAACCCCCCCAAAAAACAGCAGCCGACAGCGCTGTACGTAGACTGGTGCGTAATAAGCAAGCAAATAATCCAGAAAACAGAGATTTGAGATGGGAAACTGTCCTTGAAGTACACTGAGAGAGAGAGTGATTTTTATCGATGTGGAAACAAAACAGCCAAAGTCAGAGTGAATTAATGATGATATCTATTTGTTTGTTAAGCATAGTTTGGATTTTCCTTTGCTGCTGGTTCAGTGAATTTTGGTCAGAGTGATGAAACCTGCAGCACCAGAATCTGTGAGGTGTCGGCTTTCAGCCCCGACGGTGTGTCTGTGGACGCGGGGTGACGACACACGCTTTGTGTTTACATCTTTTTGCAGAATCCGTTCACCTGCTCTCATTTGCTGTTTTAGCTGTTTGGTGGTTGTTAAAATAGGTTTGTGAGCTTTAACATGAGATTCTGGCATTTCTGGCAAAATACATTTCTATTTAAAAATCGATTCAGGATATAAGGAATCGATATCACTTTATTAAAACTAAAATCAATTTTAATCAGAAAATCAATGTTTTAAACCCACACCCAGCCATAACCAAGTGGCCAAGTATACAGAAACATCTGTGCCGAGTATAACCTGGAAGTGCCGAGGTCAAAATGGGAGATGCCCACTAGGGTGGTGGAGAATGACCGAGCTAAGATCCTGTGGGACTTCCAGATACAGACGGACAAAATGGTGGTGGCTAACCAACCGGACATAGTGGTGGTAGACAAACAGAAGAAGACGGCCGTAGTGATCGATGTAGCAATACGCCAGTTGGAGCCATCTTCCTTATGTATTCGTGGATGTGTGATTTGTGCATCACACACTCACACACAGACACACACACAGTATTTAATGTGTAGCTTGGATTACAACAAAATGAACCTGGAATACGCCCTCCTCCGATGGCTGCAGAGAGTCCCATTCTGGTGAATCCAGAAACTGGAAAGGGTAGATGTAATGTAGAAACTCTCCATTAACTGTCACACGGATTCTGTTGGACAATGGAGCAAGAGTTGATTTTAATAGTTCAAGTTCACAACAGTAGACACTAAAGATAAAGTTATTAACTAAAACAACCTAAACCATTCTGTAATGGTAGTGTTGTACTACTACATAAGTGTGCAACATGTTTTTTTCATGTGTGTAATTTTATCACACAAGGTGATCAGGCAACCACATGACCCCAGGACATTTTAATATCAGAAATAAACTTTTTTTTTTTGGAATACTTGCAATAAAATTTCAATGAAAACGGTACAACTATGGACCAATCGTTTGCCGCCTCCTCTACACGGATGACATTGAGCTGTATGCCAGGAGTGAACAAGAACATGGGCATGTCATTCAGACCAGAGAAGTGTAGTAAGATGGTAACAAAGAGGGAAGGTAGTAAGAACTGAGTTAAATGCACAGCCAGAGGACCACATTGCAGGACAGCTACAAATGCCTCAGAATCCCACAGGCAAATGGGACCATGGACTACGAAAGCTGCAACCACCAAATACCTGCAGAGTAAGGCAAGTCCCGAGGAGTCAGCTGGGCATGGATGTTGATCCAGGCAATCAACACCTATGCCCTGCCGGGCGTCAGATACCCTGCTGGGATAATAGCCTGGCCACAACTGATGGTATGTTTAGTGAATACCTAAGGCAACAGAAAGAAGAGGAACCATGATGGAAGGACAGGCCCCTGCACGGCAAAGCTGCACTGAAAGACAGCACAGAGGCACTAATTATGGCAGCTCAGAAACAAGCTCTGAGTACGCCATAACCAAGTGGTTGGTATAGTATATAAAAATATCTGTGCTAAGGATAGCACGGAAATTCCAAGGTCAAAATGGGATACGGCTCCTACGGAGGTTGAGAATGACCAAGCGAAGATCCTGTGGGACTTCCAGATACAGACAGATGAACAGGAAGTGATGTAGCTATATCAAGTGATAGTGACGTCAAGAAGAAAAAAGATGAGAAGCGGGAGAAATAGCAAGGATGAGAGAGGAGCTAGAGAAGAGGTAGAAGGTGAAAGGGTTAC